GGGGCAGTGGACTTTGATGTCCCCAAGAGGATGCAGCCTTGTAGAATTCGGTAGGCAGGCAGGAGACATGGCCAGGAGGAGGGGACGTGGCTGCCTGAGGTGGGTGGTGTGGCTGAAGGGAGTGGGCTCAGGGGAACAAGGGGTGTAGGCTCTTCACGAGAGTGAGGACGCCTAGAATGAGCCCTTGCCCCTTCCAGGAATATACCGCCCTAAAAACCATACTGGAAAGGGGACCCTTGGGTCTGGGTGTAGACGAGCATCTATGGTCTGTAAATGACCCCTTCCCTATCTGCCCCATGAATCACGGTCCCCAGGACATTCTCCCAGCTAGGTGCATGGTCTTCTCTGGGCATTAGTGGGAAGCCCCCTCACCTCATCTGGCACACACCCCAATATTTCCTCACCTGAAAAATAGGAATAAGAGAAAAGCAGTTCTGCCAACTGAAAACAAGTTGCAGAGGGTCAGGATGATGGCCAGGTGGAAGGGAAGCATCTTGGAGGCAGAGCAGACCTTGAGGGGCCAGAGAGTCAAAGGTTCCTGTGGAGGGAAACAGGGCAGGGGAGAACTTAGTTGTCACCACATCGGAAAGAGAGCAGGCCCACAAAAGCCTTAGAGAGGGAGAGAAGGAAGACGGGGTGGCCTCTGAAGGGGCCAGGAAGCTCCGAGATGCTGCCTGTTGAAGCTGTAGCCTGAGAGTCCACCATCAGGCATGGTGGGGGCAGGGCCCACCGGCCACACACCACTGGGCTCAGCAGGGAGAGATACTCAGAGGCAGTGGGTGCATTTCAAGATGGCCAGGCGTTTTCCACCCTGAGGGTGGGGGGTGTCATTTAAGAAAGGGCAAAGGTTTTCAGGGCAGGCTTGTTGAACTCATTGGTTTTGTATCTCCCACCCCCAAGACGAAATTAAGCAGAATGTGTTTTTTGTTTGTTTGTTTTTAAGCTGAGCCATCCTGCCACCTGTTGGCAGCTCAGCGGCGGCTCAGCTCGGGCCGGGCATCAAACCGCTGTTGCTCAGAGCTCAAACTCTTGAGTGAGCTCTTAACCAACTGAACCACTCGGCCGGACCTGAATGTGTTTTAAGAAACAGCCAGGAAGCAAAGAGAAGGTAGGAAGGGAGCAGGAACATTGCTTAGGAAGCGGTGGCCTGCCCCATATAAAGAAGACACCAGTGACAATGTGTGCTGAACTCCCCCACACTGACCCCCACCAGCAAGACTTTTCTTGCTCGGCAGCGTAGCAACTATGTCTTACATGTTGACTTCTTGTAATATTGCATGATTTCTCTGAGGTCATGCCTAAAAAAGGTTACTGTACAGTTTAGGGTCCCAGAATTATTTAATTTAAAGCCCTGGTTACACATGGACTCCTGCGGTCTGTTGGTAACTTTTCATTTTAAATCGCTTTATTAAAATCAACTCACTTTGGAACATTTTTCTGGTAGCTTGTTTCAAAACCTGACATTATGGCACACAATGGTTAATGGTACCATTCTAACCTTATTAAAAGCATATATATAGGGCCGGCCAAGTGGTCGTTGGTTAAGAGTTGGCTTGGGAGCGTGAGCTCTGAGCAGCAGGGCCGCCAGTTTGGATCCCACATGGGGGCCAGTGACGCTGTGCCCTCTACAGCTAAGATGGTGAACAACAGCTCC